ATTCTGCTGCTACTACTGCGAAGCACTGGCTTGGACATATTCGGACCAACCTATTGAATGTTGCAACTTTCTGTACACCAACTTCGGCAGGCAATCGTCCCACCGACAGACTCTAGTGACTGTGGAGAAGTGGCGCCAGGTCAATCCTCAGACCCCTTTGACTAACATACCTGGATGGTCCCCCTGGAGATCTTTGTCGGTGATAGTGTGTTGCAATCCTTTTTCCCGTTTTTTGTTCTATTCCATAAAAAACTACTACAGTAATCTTTGCGGGGTTGAGTTGTCTATTCTTTTGCGGGCAATGGTTGCAATGAGGAATTTACCCAGACCAGATGCATCTGGTCCACCTAGATTTGGGTCCGGACTGCATTGCGTCTTGCCTTCTTGACTGGTCCGATAACAACGAGTATGTGACTGCGGGTACTCGTGACAAGCGTCTGGAATTGTTTTGGAATAGCTACAGGCAGTGGTGTGAAGATCAACATCTTGGGGAAAGAGCCATGCGGAAACTGTTCACTACCAATGTGCTCAAACCAGAGGGTGGGAAGTACACTGACATCTCACAGAAAGTCTTGAAGGCCGCAGCCTGCAGATACCTGTTGTTTTGGTTGTCAAGCGTGGCAACGCAGTTTGCAACGTCTGGGAAATATCCTGACTTGCAACATGGTTGATCCCAGCGGTGTCGTTTTTCCTTTTTGGGGGGAAGTGGTTGGCGTTTCAGCTTCACTCGAAACGTTTCAATGGGTGTTCTCACTTAAGGCTTCGAGCCGGAGCTGCCGGTGGACTTGCAGAGATGGAGCGTGTCAGTTTGAACGGCAATCGAGTTCTCACCTCCCACGAGCAACATCAAAATGAAGTTGCCTATACGGTATACCGTGCAGCCACCAATCAATTGGCCAATCTTGCTCTTGAAAAGAACCAGGTAAGGTGGCACGTTCGGCCAAAGAGCCACATCCTTGAACATCATATTTATGATTTCAGTCATTTGAACTTGAGATACACCAGCAACTACCTCGATGAGGACTTTGTCCGAAGGACAAAACGTGTTGCGAGCGTTGTTCATCCCAGGTATGTTGCAAGGAACACATTGCTTCGGTACTGCTTAGCAGCCACCTTGCGATGGAGCGACCAGGTCATCTAGACCGAAAAAAGATTCTGGCGGCCATGAACGGACAAAACCAACACGGACACAGGTGCCCCACTGAGATTCCCACAAAATACTTATGTTGGGTAAGGGTTCCATGTGTGTGTGTGCGTCTATATACATAAAAAGAATAGAGGCTCAAGCTAGCGGTTTGTTTTCATCCGCTGAAGTATATTCCCATCGCCCAGGAGAAGGTTTTGGAAAAGAAACGTGTCAGATTCTGTCAGATTCGTGTGAAATAGCGCGCAAGCGTGACTTGCAAGTCAGTTTTTATTATAAAGGTGCAACAATTTGTGAGGTCTGACAAAGCGTGCACACTTGACGCTGGTGTTTGTGGAGAAGCTGGTGACTTGACACCGGCGTCTCTGGCGACACCGGCGTCTGTGTTGACACCGGCGTCACCAATGTGCTGGTCAGGCCGTCCTGGTATGCCTACCGTCCATACTCCCTCCGGAGGGGAGGTGCCACATTTTTCTTTCAGCACCACGGTAGTTTTGACCGCCTCCTAATTCAGGGGCGGTGGGGAGCCGCGAAAACTGCTCGTATATACCTCAACGACGGGCTCGCCCAGTTGTCAGAAATCTCTGTCCCAAATTCGCAATTGCGGTCCTACCTTTCCTTGTACCACAAGCACCCAATGCTTGAGCCTGGGATCCCGAAGGATCCCAGGCCAGGAGGACGTGGAAGGCCCCGGAAAACACTGTCTTTTTTCTGTGTCGCTTCGGCAGGTTTCAAGAGTGAAATGAAATCCTCAAAAGACTGACCTTGAAAAGGGTGAAATCAAGGTGGTCCCTCTCAGGTGTTCGGGCTCATGGAGCGCCGGTTTGGCGGCTGCTGCCATGAGGGGCACAGGGCGGCACCCCCTTCTTCCTGGTTTGGCGGAAGTCGTGGGGTGTCGGGGCCCCGAGAGGTTATTGTTTTAATCATGCGTTCTATCGAACTCTTTCGATTCCAGACAAACTGGCTGCAACGCGTGAAAAAGACCGGCGGCTGTGATTATATATATCCACAGAGATCCAAAAGCTAGGGTGGAAGAAAGAGGACAAGTGGGACTAGCTCTATCAAAGGCTGATCCGACATGGATTTGAGTCAAAACCAGGGGTTCCCTGAACATGACCAGAATATAGACCAAATATGAATTAATGGACCATTAGAGATTTGGGAAAGTCAACCTTTTGACCTGCAGCCACATCATTCCAGTACTGCCGGCGCAGGGCCGGCGGGTTGCTTGTTCGTCTCAGCTTCTTCATAGCACTGGGGCATCGCTATACTAGTAACAAGAGCATCGCTACTAGTAGCTTCTAGCTACTAGTAGTAATGCCCTTGTTACGAGAGAGGAACTACTAGTAAGGCCCTTTGCTACTAGTAGCTTTTAGCTAGTAGCGATGCCCTCACGGGTCGAAGGACGCCCTGTGGACCAGCGAACACTTGCACGGCAGATCGCTCGTTGCCATGAACTCTTTGGTTTGACTTAAGTGCTCCAAATCTAACAGAATCATTCAGGGTTGCGAGCGGTGGTTCAATCAGATGTGTGGGACCTTCGACCTTATGTACTCAACTCTAAAGCGCTACCACCCCTACCATCGAACTTTGTTCCTCCAACCCCTCAACTGGTACCCGACCCTTTCCCCGTCGAATCCTGCGGTCGAATTTCCCTGTCAAAAACAACACCTCCAAATCCCTCGATCATAGCTGACTCTTTGAATCGGCATGTGACTTCACAACCGAAAACCGAAAGCAGCCGGTCCCATACTACGACTGACTTGACTGGTGCCTTTTTTTAGGAACCCTCACGACTGACTTGACTGGCTTGCTACCGGATCTACCCTTACAACCCGCACTTTTCCCTCGTTCTCTGAACCCACCAGCCGGAACCCGCCGGTTCCGCCGGTTCCGAGAGCGTCCCGGCGATCGAGTGGCTCAGGCGGTGAGCTTCTTGATGCATCCCAAGAGCCCGGTGAAGCGGCTCTTGGTGGACCATCCCACCGGCTCAGGGCCCCTCAACAGCAGCGGTTGAGGTCCGGGGCGTCCAGTGGGTTAGTAGCTCGGTTGGGGTAGGATGGGGTAAGGCCTAGGGCGGGGTGGAGTGTGGAGTTGCAAGTGGGAGATCTGTCGGTGGATTTCAGACTGAAATGGTCAGGCTCCAGGATTGTGAGGAGGGTGGGGCCGGGGGTTAAGTGCATTCTTTCATCTTCAGTGAGATTTTTTAAGGCCCGGCAGATCGCATGGAACAGATGGCTGTGGGTCTTTGGGACCTCAAAAGTGGTGCAAAATGGGCGGTCACCAGACCTGGTCACTGGCCGACTGGACTGTGGAGACCCCCCTTGTTCCCCGCGGTGTTTGAAAAGCAGGCCTTGTAATGTGTACTGCTTTGCCTTGCCTGATGAGGTTGAATAAGTCTTAGCATCATTTTGATTCAGTTTGTGTCTTAAGTTGTGACTCGACTGAATAACGTCCATCATGTTTTCACTTAAACTATATATAGTTTATAGGTCAGCCTCATTGACCATCCAATCTTCACCAGTTTCACTTCACCCTCTTAACCTTTGACCCGGCGATTGGAAGAAGAAAAGCACGACGTCCACCGAGCTGGTTTGCTCCGCGCATCGGGTCCACCCAGGAAGACCCGGGAGATGATCAAGGTGCCGCCCTGCCCCGCCGGGCCGGTCTGCGCGCGCGACCGCCTGGCCGGTCTGGGCACCGCGCGTACGCCGCGTACTCGGTCTCGGCGTACTACCGGCGGCCAGTTCTTGTTGGCTTTTTGAAAAGGGGGTTCCCCCTCCGGCTGGCTACAGTTCCTACGGCTGTTTGAGGCCCTGAGAGGGTGGAGCTGAGCAACCACTTGAACAAAAAAAGGCAAAAAAAAACACAGGTCATTTGATGGTCCCGATTCCCAATCCTTTTGAGGGAGAGACCCGTCGTGACCAAGACCCTATTCTACAGAGTGACCCCACCCCTTGACCGAAGATGAACAGAAGTTGACCTCCAAAGAGGTTCAGGGAAGCCCCTAGGCCTTGGGCTTGTGGGGTGTTCCCAGCGATCCACCGATTGCTCCCAGCGATCCACCGAAGGTCGGAGATCCCCGCCGCGCTCTCGTGCTTCTCGTCTCGTCCCGAGTCGTGCCCCGTCGTCCGGGAATTCCCCGTTCGTCTCCTCAACGAAGTGATTTCGATGGAACGTGGCACCTGAAATGTGAGAGGCTCCACCTCACCTGAGGCGGCCAATCTGAATTCCATGCGCCGTTCATGTGTCTCTTTTTGTAGTACTACTGTTACATGTGTATTTTAGAAATGAAGGGTGGCCGTGCCGCCCACATCATCCGCTTCGATGTGATGCCTCTGGAGTTGTTCTTCCCATTCCGGAGATGAATCGCTTCAGACCCATCCACGGGCCTTGGCTCAGTCCACGGGAAGCCGGGAGATGGAAGATAGCAATCTTCCTGTATGTTCCTCAGACTTCCTTGGTCTATTGAACTTGTAAGTGGTTTTGGCCCTGACTTGTGCCTTCAGCCACCTGCCAACAGCCGTTAGACTTAAACCGCTTAATTGCCATCAATTCCCCAAATCCTCAAAAGATCCCATTCCCCGGATGTGTTTGTGTGCCCGACAAATCTGGTGGTGATTTATGTGTTTTTTAACGCGATGGACACTTCTTTCAGTAGCTGGACACAAAGACCATCAAAGACCCACGACGACCCGCGACGACTTGGCATCCGCGCCATCGGGACAAACCTGCGACTGCCACGGACGGCGCGCCGCGCTGGCGCAAGTCGTTCACTTGCAGATGTGGATGGAACTTGCAGAGATCCTGGGCTGCGACTCCTGGGTGATTCCTTTGGCCGGGGGTCCAATCAGGTCCATAAGCCTATGCTGCCATTAATTAAGACACCCCTTTCCTCAGGGGAGTTCATCTAGGCACCTTTCCTCATGGCTGCTTTTCAGCTCCTTCTGTGAATATCACGACCCGACCCCTGACCCCCCGCAAAAGGTCACTGAACTTCAAGGGTTTCGGCCTTTCAAAGAGAAATATGATCCTTGCACGGTGTTCAGACCCAGGGTCCCCTGGTTTGAGTCGTGAAGACGAAGAACGAAGCCGGGCTTCAGGTGTGTATTTACAAAATAGGCATTGGAGAAGAAACCCCATGGTGGTTCATGAGATTAGTGGCTAGCTCTCGTTCACCTCCCCTGGCCTCAAATACAATGCTGAGCATGCTGAGCATGCTGAGCATGCTCAGATGAAGAGGAGCGAGCAATACTTTGTGATTTCAACGTTTGGCCTGCTTGCCGTTGGCTTCATGGGTGTTGCTCGCCATTTAGTGGCCCACTGTGACTGGGATGAAGCGGGAGGCAAGGTCCGCAAGCCCCCCCAGGTCCGAAAGCCCGGCGTTGGACCGGTTTTTCACGCACCGGTCCGGTTGACCGTGTGATGATCGTTGTTTTTTTTCTTCTGGGGCATGCCGACATATGCCGACCCTTGCAGTTGTGGTTGCTCCATTCGAGAACTCACGCAATGTTTTTGAGGCAAAGCACTGCGGAAGAACCTTCTCCATCGCATCAATGCCATCCGCTCTCCATTCGCTCCTTGTGCCGATCGATGCTTACGGGATCGCATCTACATGGAGAAGGTCCTTTTGCTTCGGAGCTTCTTCTGGTGCCCCTTTGTTGGGAACGGTTGGGAATACTACAGTACGAACAAAGGATGATGAAACGTTTGGAATTGCATTTGGAGACCATCCACGTGTTCAGTTTTTGGCCATGATGCTGTCGTGTTGGTACTTTCCACCAGGTACTTTTCGTTTGTGTCCTTCTGCTTCAATATCAGCATTTTGTACAACATCTTGGCGGGCAAACCACGTTGGATGACGATGAATGCGACTTGGGGGGTCGGCCTCATCATTGCTTTAGCCTACATTCCCGTCATTTTTCCGTTTGTGATCAACCAGCGGACCTTGGACATCACATATCTTGCCAACCAACTCGCTTTGACCTTGTGGCTGGGACCCTGGTGCAACCCAGCAGTGGATCCTGGAATGAACATCATGAATCATGTTTTTGTTTTGTTTTCTGGTTAAGACCATATGGACTTACTTATTCAATGCCGAAGCTTCACTGCGGTCGAAGCAAGCCTGGGGCGGTTCTCAGGCCCCCTTCAACCAACGCTTGCGCCCCTTGCGCACCAGGTCAAGCACTTTTGTCAACCATGGCAGGTCCAAGGTCTTGTCACACCCAACCTGTAAGGGGTGGGTTAGAGGGCGTCAGTAGATGATACTAATGTCGGATGTGAATGACATGAGTTCAGTGAAACTGACATTTGGCAATTCAGGACAATTTGCTGATGCTGAACGTCGCAAGCTTTTTGGTGTTGTCAGTTCCCGTCACATGCAGCGCAAAGAGCCCCTCAGCAGTGGTTCTTGGCCAATCCTCCACTCTGGCGCTCTGTGTGGGACGTGCGCTGACGGATGACTTCCACGGTGAAAAACCTTCCATGTCGGCGACTGAATTTCCCCAAAGAGCATTTTTGTTTTTTTCTGCTGCCCTCATGTCCGCAAACTAAAGTTGAACAAGACACATCACACTTCTCGACAACATTTGCTTGTGCCATGCGTCGCTGCACATCTCTGCTGGGTTCTTTGCTTCCGTTTTCGAGAACCGTTCAGGTCCAACCCTCGCACGCTGGTGATATTGGGTGCCTTGGACACCAGGATGTGTTTTTCTTTTTGGGGAGACAAAGTGATGGGATTTCCATGATCACCAGGAATTGTTCGAGGAAATGACTGAATCTTGGTTGGAACTACATATTTGCTTGAGGATCTTGAGGAACTGGTTGGTTTTTCAGGTTTAAACAACATAATAATAAAACACAAACAACAACTGTGTTTTTATTGATGGCCCCGTCAGTTTCTTTTTTTCAGAATGTACATCTCATGTGACATTTGCTGGCCCAGTCTGTGAAACATTCCGAGGTGTGTTGCTGGTGCCTTGTGCTTTGATAGTGCAACATGTAGCAACTACCTTCATGAAGCAGAATGCAGAGATGCAAATTCACGCAAGAGATCTCGGCACTCAGTCAAGCCCGTTGGTGGAAAGAGCAACTTTTAATACCTCCACAGCCGTTTTGTGCAATTGTTTTGTATATGCAAAACATCGCAAAACCTTTTGCTTGAGTTCCTGGGAAGATCTTGGACACCCAGAAGGGCACCAGCAGCTCCGTAGTCTCCCAGCAGTTTTAGATGGAACTGGGGTGTGGCCTACTCCACACTGTGACGACCCGGCCTCAGGTGCTGTTTCCTCCCTCTTGGGCCTCACTTGTGACGCTGTGGTGGAGCTGGATTCGGAGCTGAAGTTCGTCTCGGAGAGCGTTCAGCTGGCGACGATGCTGCTACATCGCCCGGGTGCTAGTATGCAAGGCCGGAGCTGAACAAAGGCAACCCCACCTGGGCGCCCAGAGGTGACGGAGGTGGTTGCTTAGGGCACTCAAAGGAGGTGTTTTCACCAATGGTTCAAATCCGAAGAAAGACGACCACAGCAAGTGAGCCCTTGAACATGCCTATGTTTATCGGCTTTGCCCCTGTCAGACCTTCCTAGCCTCTGATATTCAGGCAGAGAATAACCTGCAGCAATTGTAATAGCATGGCGACTTGCCAAACAATTCCATGCATTTTTTCCATATTGTGCTCCGTTTGAAGACTCAACCAATGGCCTGAGACTTGCTCAATGTCTGTCCCACAGCCACCAGTTCTCTGCCTGGCGTTGGGATGGTGGAACATAGAACATGTCAATGATTCATGCCCTGACTGAGCATCTTCAGTCCATGAACATCATACCTAGACACCCATGTTGAGTTGAGCAATTATGCAGTCTTACCATACAGGAGGCAGAAACAACATGAGGTGTTTTTGATGGTTTTGGGAAACAAACTCTGACAACTGCCAACCTATTTGTTGACATGGAATTCGCCCCCTGAAACAGCTACGATTCCTTTGCCCGGTCAAGCCACTGGTTGTACTGAGTGAGGGGGTACGGGTAAGAACGCCTAAGTCACAGGTAGGAATGCGTACAAAACATGCAAGAAAGGAAAAATAGGAACAATAGTAATGCAGATGCATAAAAGGCAAAAGTTCTGCATCAAGTCAAATCCTCATCAAGCACTGCACCTCAAGCTTTTTTTGCTGTGGGTGCTAGTCCATCATCATTGTGGGAGCCTGGAACCAGCGGTGGGTGGATCCTTATCTTGTAACTAGTCACACGAAACTCCCCAAAAGGACAAGAAAGCGTAAGGATGGGCAAGGGCACCTTTGCCCAGCTTTTTCTTTCCCAGAAAGAGTTCCTTCAAGACTTTTGGACATGTTGATACATTTTGTTGATTTGTCAATGGTTCCAAATCCATAAACACCCACAAATGCTTCCTTAAGGCTTTAGACCCGATTCTTTCTGTGTCACAGGAATGAAGCTGACAGACTTCATCGCTGCACCTGATGTAGCAAGGGCCGAAGAGGTCTTGTCTCAGCATCCGAGTGACGATGTCACAGCACATGCCTTCCACACTCACTTGGTCGACAGTTGTTCCAGCAAGTTCCGAACTGAAATCTTTCAAGCGACGGGACTGAAGTCGACGAAGTGGGAGGTGGGACGAAGTGGGACCCGGAATGTCCGGACATGGAGGGACGATTTTGTAAGCAGGTGGTTGGATCCAGAGTTCATTGGCAAAGTCCCATGCCCGAAAGCTGTATTGTTTTACTATGTCATGTGTTGGTTGTTTTAATCTCATTGACACTTTGGGATGGTAAACCAAACAAGATGTCCACTGTCGATGATTTTTTTCAGATATCACCAGATTCCCCCTTTGCGCCCGACCAAAGGGACCCGGCCAGACCTCTAAAGGCACGATCGCGCCGGCTAAAGCCGTGGTTGGGCTCGGTGGACCCCGTAGGAATTGGTCACCACTGCACATCTTCTATCTCCTTTCCGTAGCCACCAGCCATCGGCCCTGGAGGGGAACCGGTATCCCAGGTGAGGTATACCACCATGAACGGAACACCACATCATCTGCTGGGCCTCCGGGAATTCACGGACCTGAAGCCCTTGGCGCGGGCAGACGACCCGAACCCCGCCGGCAGTCCCGACTGGCATGACGCCGGGGTGACCGGAGAGCCGACCGTTGGGAACGAGATTGTATTGGACTGCAGTTACAAGAGCCTGGATTCTGTCAGCTTTCCACTGATCCACTCGGAATCCGAGGAGGAAACTCCAGTGACAGAGCAAGTGAGCAGTGGAGTCGTGGAAAAGCGTTTGGAGATCACCAAAAAGGATTCCTTCTTCAATGTTGATATGAAAGAGCAAGTGGTTTGCGCGGCCTCCGCGCCCTTCTGTAGCCTAGTTGGCTTGAAGCTACACGCCATCTTGGGTTCAAGCTTTGCATCACGCATGTTTCAGAAGTTATGTGAAGATGCACGAAGATTTGCCAAGAGCCAATCTGCTGGCGAAGATGACCAAGTGCTGCCGGATCAAGTGGCCATGTTTTGGCGAATGCCCTTGTTGTTGGGCGCACAGCTGGTGGAGATCAGTGGTGTCATGAAAGTGATGCTCAGCCAATCAGGCGACCTCCAAGTCATCGTGTCCTTTGCTCGGGTGGAAAGTGCCTCAACGCGACCTCCTCAGTCACTGGAGATGACGCCAACAACGACGCCGAAGCGGAACTGGTCGTTGTGAAAAGAACTGCTGCTCGTTGCTGGTCGTTTGGAAAGGTAACCTATAACCCCCCAAAGTCATGATATTTAGACCATCAACGACTGAAGATATACAAGAAGAACGGTATGTCCGTCTTGCTTTGAGCACTTATTTATGATTCACTCATCCTTTAAGATCTATTGAAATCATTTATATATATATATATGAGCTTCATGACATGACGACGACTTGTCCTTCAGAGGTTGGCTGGGTTCGTTCAGGCAACCCAGACACAAGGTGTGGACTCGAAGATGAATTCTCTTCAAGTTTCACGACTCCAACTGTGGCTCGACTTCGAAAAATGGATGGGATGGTTTCTATGCAGTTTGCCCAGTCTTTCTCATATAGACACTGAACATCCCAATTTGGGACACGCTTGCGTGTCCTTCACTGCTCCAAATCCTGTAGCCTAAGTGAGAGAACACAATGAAACGGAGATGAAACCATGTTTCTTTGAGAAAGTCACTACTCTATACAGACATCTTCATACCAGATCTATTTTGAAGCCTTTTCTGCGCACCCTGTCAAGCGGAATTAGACAACAACAACAACACCACGATCAAACACGCCGGTCCCGCCGGTGCCTCGCCCTTTCGACGGAGCGACACCCACCGCTCCTTCGCCGCACGGGCTTCCGCCGGTGCGCTTCCACCGATGACGCGATGTGGGACCTCGACGGGCATGCGGCACTCACCAGCGACGTGGCAGAGCCCTCGAGGCTCAGCTGAGTCGCGAGGGGGATGAGTTCGGTCACACACATCATGTCATTCATGTGGCGAACTCCGCCGGGATGGGTGATTTGTTAGGAACTCTAAAGACGCGTGAAACATGATACCCGACGATATGACGATAGGGCGGATCTGATTCCATGGGTATCGACTGGTGCCATGGGAAAAGGATATTTCACAGGAGCTGGGAAGGGGATATTTCACAGGAGCTGGAGCAATGAGCGCCTATGTCAGTTGGAGGGTTGGGGATTTGGGACAAGTTTGGTTAAAAACTGAGTTCTCTAGGACTAGGAATTTGTGGATGATGATACGCTGCGAGGCTGCAGGGGTGCAGATGTGTTTGATCCTTTTTGTTTGAATCCTACCTTTGGATGCATTCTTGGACCTGGAGGTTCCAGGTAGGTCTTTGTTGAACTGCCCCAAAAAGGACCTTCACATTGCTGTTCATTTGCCTACTATTATAGACCCCAATAGATAGAAAAGTAGATCCTCACTAAAAAGGAACCATTTCTATCCATTTGGCGATCACTATACCTTTTTCTTAGGCCTTTCCACGGAGGTCAGAAAGGTTGTGAACGAATGAAGGCTTGAACCGCAGTGGACTAGAAAACAAATGAAAACCATTTAGATCAAAATAGTAGCATCGCCACAGAATCCCGCCAGTGGGATAATTATAGGGTAGACTCTTGGACCATGGATGATTGGAATCTCTTCTTGGTGCCCCCAAAAGTTGGTAGACAAGTGAGGGACCCCTCCAAATGCATATTGAACACTGTTTTGATGTGTTGTAGGGACCGCAGCGCCGGCCTCTTCATAACACCTATTGTTCAACCGCGTGACCGCATGCCATGCACAAAAAACCTCCACCAAGGAACTTACACTTTCCCAACTCGTGCCTGATGACCCAGCTGGTCCTGATGGCCTGTGTGTCCATCGTGCGCTCGGTGGGTTTTGAACCGACAAGGTAAGACTCCCTGCAGGTATACTGTATATGGACGATTTCTAAAGACTCCCAGCAAGCCAAGTGTTGATGATGACGGGGGAGTAGCGTTGGACGGTTGTCTCTTTTGCTTGGAACACATGAATTGCATATTATATTGGCATCAAGATCACGGAAGGTATAGACATAGAATCTACAGGTGCGGGAATCAACCAACTTTGGAACCTCTATACAAGAAGAGATTCTCAGTGGGAACCTCTATACAAAGTGGAACGTCCGCTGCCAGGGAGGTTGAAAGATGCGGAGTGTCCTCTTTCAGGGACATCACGTAGGTTGACAGTTGGTCAACAACCCTTCCCAAGACTGAGATGCAAAACCATGTTTGATCATCAGCAGTCGACAATGATTTGTTTGTAACACTCCATGGGACTGGCATATATAATTATAGCCTATACATTGGGGTGGTTTCAGGGTTCAATGTAGAAATATGTATAATGTATTTCTAAAGATTCCGCTAAGATTCCAGAAAAATGAAATCTTTGGGCGTTGTTGTGGCAACTCACAGCGGTGACGCGCAGAACCGCGCAGAACCCCCCAAGGCTATCGACCTTCGCTTGGCACCGGTGTGGCGCCGGAGGAGGGCACAGCGGTGGTCGACCAGGGGGGCAGCATTCCAAAGGAGTGTTTTTGTATTTAAAGTTCCCAAGTGAGTGCGAAATGGAAGCCCTTTATTTGATATCTGGAAAGATATTGCTTTTGAAACTAGATCATTGAGAGGCTGATGATCTATATTAATTATATAAGCATATCAATTGCTTCATATGATTGAATCTATATCGGTTTGAATCAATGGTGCTGCCAACAAGTATGGTCCATGATTTGAAAGCCGGTGATAAACTACGGAGAAGAGACCGATCGGTCATTGTGTTGGATCTAAAAGGAATATGGGGTGTCCCATGACCAGACATTCATGATATGTCCAAGAATATTACATCTTATCACTATTTTGGGGAAAGGTTTATGGTAACTAACATCATCCACTGGGCCCTGGCAATGGGATGTGCCGCGATAGGGAACAGGCGGTTCCAAAGCCTAAAATTGTGGACCGATCGAAACCCTGATTCCTTCGAAAGCGACTGGAATTGTCCAGGGTTTCATTGGTGTTTGTGGTTTCAAACAGCTTGGTCCTGGTGGTTTCAGGGGCCTGTGCTTGTACTAGTGACTGACTAGTGACTAGTGGGGTTGTTCTTCGTGGTTGGAAATCGTGAATCTTTCAACGAGAACCCCAAAATCCAGATCCTCAAAGAAACTCGTGCTCGGCCCGGCAAAATAAGAAGATGACCCCCACGCACATTCCATGTGTTTTTCGTTTGGATGGCTCACCGAACCCGGAAAAAGTCCGATGCAGGACTTTGTGGACTGGCCCTCCTTGAAGCAGAAGGCACCGAGAAGTGGGGCGGGCGTTCTTTCTGTGAAGCAAAGGATCCTCAGACCGGTGTCGGTCTGAGAAAGTTGTTTTTATATAGGAGAGATATGGCTGTGGTGGTCAAAGCTAGGATACCTTGGTTTACCTGCCTGGGAGATTCCCAGGTGAAAATGAGATTGATTAGATGATTTAGATGGTTTCAAAACTTTAGCTCAACCAATTGGCTGTTATGAACCCTCCAAATGCTCAGCTGTTTGCGTCAAACATGCTGGGCTGCAGCAAAGTTTGAAGAATTGTTTTGTATGTCCAGTAGAGTGTCCAGTAGCTATTACTCAAATCCAAACTGTTTGGTCAGACATGTTTGAGCCTACACGTGCGCGGTTCTTCTTTTTTCTATGTTGTATGCATGTTTGATTCAGATGCAAAACCAGCAAGTTCCAACAAACATGGGCAAACTTGGCCTTGCACAAACGACACATGGGGGGTGCCCACTGTGAAATCTTCCTTGTTTCAGTATTCCTCGAGGGTGGGACCCGCCAGGGTGACCCGCCCTGGCACGTCCTCCACCACACATTGCACTCGAGGCTTGGGACTTTGTGGACCGTCCCTATGAGGCGAGCCGCGATCGACGTCTGGGTGGGTGTCCTTCCTTTTTGGGAAGCCCCGAGAGGTGGGTCGGTCCTGGTTTTGGCTCAAAAGGCGATGTTTGTATTGTCCCTTATATGGGTAAATCAATCCATGTAAATCCCCTTCTGGTGAATATGTTTTTTTTGTTTTTTTAAAGTGTTTTTACTGGTTCCTGAAGCAAATCCCAGATGTGTTTTTTCTGCGTTTTGGGCGTTGTTGGTGCGTTTGGGCACGGACGTTGACCATTTAGACCGAGCTTGGAGTTTTGTGCAGTTGGAATGCTCACAAAGATGTACTAATGTTTGACAACCATTTTGTAAATCGAGTCATCACGAAAGCTAGCCTTAGCTAGCTGGAGTTGCTCTTGCTTGAGCAAGTTAAGTGACGGGGTGGACGCACCTCAGAAACCTCAAATAATTGATTAAATCAATCTTATGGACCCCCCCCCCCGCGGTTCGACTCCCCCCTGCGCGCGGTGAGCGGGACCACCAAGCAGCTGCAGCACACCAAGCATCTGCAGTCTACCACCAAGCAGCTGCAGCAAACCACAAAGGAGCAGCAGCAGCAGAAGCAGCAGACCCAGAACAGCAGCAGCAGCAGCAGCAGCAGACCACCCAGCGCCAGCAGCAGCAGCAGCAGCAGCCGCAGACGACCCGGCGCCAGCAGAGCACCCAGCGCAGCAGCGCCCATCCCTGACGACCAGACTCTCGTTCACCCCCTAGCTAGCTTTCGTTCACCCCCTCTGGCCTCAAGTATAAGTTGTGCGGTGGAACAACAGGTCTTCTATGTAGTCCCACTCCCACTCTTTGTGTTATATATGTGTCTTACAATGTGTTGCTTGATTTATATAACTATATAATGTTATAAGGAGCGCCGCCGTCACCATCACCAACATTCCACTGTCAAGTGTTGATGGTTTTTGTTTGTTTGATTGATCGATGTCTCCACAGAACTCACCATGATTCCACCGCGAAAGACTGTTCGACTGTTCGACAGCATGTCTGGGGGCCTGGCGTCCACAGCTTCTCCGATCGCCAGGGCCCCAAGTCCTTGGAGACGATCTGCCCTGCCTGGTGGAATGCCACCGGTTGCCCGGTCCACCCAGCCTTCTTTGGGCGCATGGGCACGGGTCGACTGGAGCAGACTGGAGAGCAGGGTGTCGTTGATTGATGCATGTTGGGTTTGATATTGCAAACTATGCCTTAGATGTGTTTTGCGCGGTTACCATCATGAATCATAACATATATATATATATATTGTGTAATAATTCTATTGTAGTATATGTGCATAGCATGTGGTTTTTGTGACCAGCGCCTTCATTCACAAACT